GAGAAAGACAAATTAAAAACTACACAAAGTCTTTAATAAATAATTTTTTTCAATGAAGGGCTATGTTAATCTTGAAAAATTAAAACTTTTAACTAAAGCTAAAAGCACAATGTCTAATCATGGTAGGCCTAATTCCTAATCCCCTACTTTTCTTATTTTAACTGTTTAAAGATTGAGTTTCTCTAAAATCACTGCTAATTTTATTTTCATTATATAATGTGATAAAACTCAATGCATCGGTTTATTAACTTGATTAAAATGACTATTATAATCTTTGTTGAAAAAATCAGTCTTAATTAATTTTAACGTTTCATTTATTTCTCATTTTGTTTCTGTAAGGCCTAATCTAAAACGTTATAAATTCAAAATATTAATTGTTTAATACTTTATCCCATGAATTTCTTAAATTTAAACTTGTTAAAAGAGAATTTTGAAAAGAATCACGAATAGATGAGATTTTTCTAAACAATGAGAAGGTAACCAAGAAAGAACTGGACTAAAAACCTACAGGGACGAGGCGCATTGAATCCATATCTCTCAACGACTGACTTCCTGTAGGTCACGAGGTCAAGATAATTGTTTAGATTCAAAGTACTGAAAGTACTGAATGGAGAAGGCGATCATATGTGTATATATTGAACATGTATATTTTTAACATTTTCTAAACGAAATTAAAAATGATAGTCTCTATCAGAATACAGTTATGGAATGGGTATGAAGGAAAAAGCAAATTTATGGTTCTATCATAAGGTCAAATTGACCTATACGATAAATTTTCGTTATTCTTAATATTTTAATAATTATTTTGAAATTCAATTAATTAATTTTTATTATCTCATTTCACTTTTGCTTTATTTGGTTCACTCATTTTTCTGTCACATGTTTTTCCCCATTTTCTATTTTATTACAGACAATGGCTATTTGAACTTTGTATCTAACAGTAAGAAAATTAAGAAGTTTCTCAAATATTATCACCTTTTGGCTGTCATGAGTACATCTACTACATGTATTATTTACCAAAAATACCTTTACGCAGTATTACACATTTCAACTAAAAAGTTCGTTTGATGTTGGATTGGCTCAATTAGTGTCAGCCCATCGGATTACCTGTCTTTGTCCTCTGGCCTTTGCACCTATCTTTTTTTTTTAAAGAGGCCCTCGATAGGAAAATGTAACAGTTTACTCAATAATTTTCCAATTAATCCCTTTGTGTCTCCCACCCTGACCAAGTCAATTCCTACGTCGGGTACCCAGCGCGTCACTTTATGCTGGAACACCAAGAATAAAAATCATAGAAATATATTTCATCTTGGTCATCTATTTTCAGAAACTACCACTATAGAAACCGACCAAAAACACTTCGTTACAGTTCCCCAAAGGGAGGAAACTATTTCCCGAGGCGGCGAAGCCGGCGGGGGAAATAGTTGACTGCCGAAGAGAACGCATCAATACCGAGGAAAATTTTTGATTTAATTAAGTTTGGAAGTATATTTAACAATTAATTTTTACGTCATATTTCACCCAAAAAAATATTTTTTTGCCCTGGTAATTTATTTGCCATGCAAAAGAGTAGTACCGCAGTTATCACGAATTTTGATTTAAAACAGGCTTATAACCTGTTTGAAGAAATATACCTATCATTGGATTCATTCATTTATTTATTCCGTTTATTTAATAAATATATACGTATACGGTAGTCCGACTTTGTTATAGTCCGACTTCGTTATGGTCCGACTCTGTTATAGTCCGACATTGTTATGGTCCGTCTTATCTGTCATCGGCCCTCATTGGTTAAAATTATTAAAAAATATTCATGAGGGAGTAGTCCCAGGGAGTAGCTCCGATTTTCAGGGAGACGTCCTCAGATTAGGGAAATAGTATTTTCTCAGGGAAATAGACAGTTTTATGGTATTAATTTTATTTAGAGTAATAACAGTAGAGGTATAATAAAATAAATTAATCCAAAATGTGACGTCTCAAAATACCAATATCTGAGTCAATATCAATATCTGAGTCAATATCAAGAAAAGAAAACTAAAGTTTTAAATTTATAAATGTTTGTTCAAATTAGATTTGTAGATAAGAAGACAATATTTGTTTTATTACTAATTCAGTGCCCATATGGGCATAAAGAGAACGAAGTTACAAGAAAAAGGCCTAAAATAGAGGAGATAAAAGATCATTTAAATAAACCTATATAAGTATGTACAAGTAGATATATGGTACATGTATATCTATTGTGGTAGAGGATATCAACATTATAATGACATTGCACGCATGCTTAAGTAGAGTATAAAAATTGCAATGTAAATAAGTAGTAGAGACTTAAGCGCAGATGAATTAAAAGAAGATATATTTTTCTAACATTTTCTTTTTATCATTCAAGATTTTTTTTTTACTATTAATGAAGGATATTATTGTAATATAAGAAAACTTAAAAAATGTCAATATTTCAAAATTCCAGTATTTTTGAAATCCTACAAGATTAAAGCACTGGTGCATCTATCATTTTGTGAGTTACACTCTCTCAAATCTTTGCAAAGATCAGACCCATGTAGACATTTTTGGATATCAAATAATATTTAATTGCTATTTTAAAACAAACAAAACACCCTAGACCTGCGAATACACTGTGCAATTTTTGACTTTTGATGCGGTCTACTAGTAATTATATGGACCTGGTCAGATATTGTTTTATACAGTGTTTATTTTTGTAGGGCACAAGAAGAAAAGTGTGGAAAACATTGTGAAATTCCGGATCATTTAATCAAACAGTTATTAACTTTGAACTCGGTCTACTCATGACTTTACTATATGACTATAGTCTGCTCCCAGTTTGTATTGTTTCAATGGACTTTTCAGCTTGAATACTATTCTTTATCTAATAATTCACGATTTAATTACGATTTTTTTATTTTCTTTAAATGGTTCATTAAAAACTTTTTTTTTAATTTGGAAATTTTCTTAGTAGAGAATTCTTTAGGAATTTTGGGTTATTTATTCAAAATAAAAATTATTTCTCTTTCTATTGGTGGCATCTGCAAGAGCTTGGCAACGTTATCATGGTTATATTAAGCAAACATGTTCGAAATAATTAATATATGTACAATGTGTCTATTAAATATATAACGACAAAAAAACCCTTTTTATGAATTTTCTGAAATACCTTTTTACTATTTAGTTAGACTTTACTTAATCGCAATTTTTCTGGCTTCTCTGGCAAGCAGAAAAAGAACCTCGAATGTGTTACCCATGCGTTCCAAGACAACACCCCTTGCATAAATATTGCAGTGAATGCACATGTGGTAAGACCTCTTAGTTGAAGTTTTCATCTATTTCAAAACCTCGGCTCTACCAATAAGAGGTCTTACCACATGTGCAGATACTTCAGTTCCTGTGATGTGCTGTAATAATTGTTACACTGTAAGAGATAACAATGGCTTAAACATTGATCTACTTTATGTTAAAGCAAATATGATATATTCATATATATTTCATGCATTGATTGAAAAAAAAAAATAATAAAACAAATTACAAATGTAATTGTTTATTAGTACATTCCCTACAATACTGTGACAGAGATCGGGCTCGGGATGTCTTTATGCATTACGTCAGCCGGACTTTATCGTAGTGTGATACGATAGCGGCCAAGGGTAGTCCGGGTATACATGGGTATAAATACGAGCGCTCTGCAGAAAACTGGCAGTTGACAGTCGGAGCGCAGTGTAGACGGTTCGTTGAAAGCACAAAAGTGAGGTACGGCGGAGGTTAATAAGGCTTGTAATTAATACAGTATACGGTGTCTAGTATACTGGGTTTACATTATTCAGGGTAATAAAGTTGTAATTACTTTTCCTCGAATTTTATTAAGATCTGTCTGTGTACAGGACAGAGACCTCGAAGATCCGTACCTGTCCTGGTACTGATACATGCAGGACACAGACCTGTCTGAGTACAGGACCTATCCCGGATTTGAGGCCCGTACCTGTCCTGGTACTGATACATATAGGACACAGACCTGTGCGAGACCCATACCAATAATTGTTTAAAGATAGTTGTATGCTTTATGTTAAGGATAGGAAATCCTAATATTATTTATATCTGTATATATTGACGCGTTTATTTTTCACATCCTTTGTCACTTATCATTTCTAATCATTTGTTTAATTAATTGTCTTGATTAAGGATCTACCCAGATTCACGGACCCAAACACGTTACAAAAATTGGCGGCAGCGTCGGGATTTGGGTTAGATCCGATTTGTTACATTTTTATGATATTTGATCGTTTATTGTTATTTTCACAATGTCAAGTCTACGGGCTGACATATCAAACATAGAAAGACAAATAGAAAGTCTGAATAGAGAGATAGACGAGTCTAGGCGATTAATAGGTCTACAGGAAAATGTTTCACCTGTCTCAAGACCCATCCAACAAACACGGACGAGTACGCCGTTTACAAGACGGACAGATAGGGTGCTTGATAATGCAAGTACTGAGGATGTATGCATATGTGACGAAACTGATGATAGGTTTGGAAACCGAAGACAGTATTCGGCACATGGCACCAACACTCATCCGGCGACCGATGCAAATCAGCATCAGAAGAGATCAAAGCCCAGGAATTTTATTAAACCTGCGACGTACGACGGTTCCAGTATGTGGAATGACTATTTGTCTCATTTTGAGTCTGTGAGTCTATTAAATGAATGGACCGAGACAGAAAAGGGGTTATATTTAGCTGCGTCTCTGAGAGGGCTAGCACAAGGTGTGCTGGGTAATCAGCCCAGGGATGAGAGACAGAATTATGCAAAATTAGTCAGATGTTTGTAGGATCGATTCGCCCCACTGAACCAGACAGAGCTGTATCGGACCCAGCTCAGGGAAAGGAGACAAAAAGCAGCAGAGAGTTTACCAGAGATGGGCCAAGATATAAGGAGGCTTGTGAACTTAGCCTATCCTACAGCACCGGATGATGTACGTGAGATCCTTGCCACAGAA